TAAATAAACAAGCAAAAATACAGACAAGCGAATATAGAAATAGTGTATATAATATCCATAATACCGTATGGATGAACATGTAACTAATATGAAATGTGGCCCATTTGATGAAGTAAAAAAATATGATAATAATCATGAAATTTTACTAAATTCAAAGCTATAGGGATCATGAAACTAGATCAAAAACTTGGGACAACCAGGCAAGCATATAAATATAAGTTGGTAGGTAAATATTCATTATTATCATTATTATTATTATTATTGCTGGTATAGTAATTCCATAATCTATGTTTCCGGGTCACTGAAATTAGGATTATTTAAAAAAAAATAACCTGGTTACTATAATAACTTAATGGCTGAGACTAGAAGGCATAAAAACAATAACTAACTAATTTAATTAAAAACAATAGATTAACTAAACAAGGTGTTTTTGAGTCACTTAAGGATAAAAGAATAAGTAGTTTGAATAAAGTGAATAAAAAAATTAGGCTAAAGTATTTGTGATGGTGTCTTTGTACAAAAAATGTTTCTGTTGTACAATGAGTATTATGTAGCTGGCAAGTTTCAGGGTTGTGTGTCTTGATAAATCCAGCAAGAATGTAAACCTGGATCTCCCCTCACCGTACAGCAGAACAGCTGCTTGCCCTTGCAACACACATACACACATACTCTGACACACTACCCTCTCAACACACACACATGCACACTTTTCACAAACAAGCCGCTGTTGGCTGTTTTAGGATCAAATTAGGGTTGCAGGAATTTCACACTGATGGTAGATATGAGTAGGTTCACCTGCTCCTTTCTGTTGTATTGACAGATGAAAGATGGACTTAGGGAGATTAGATCTGGCCTTACATTTCTGTGGAAAAGCTGAAAGCTGCTTGCAATAGGTACAGTGATCCAACTGTCTGATGCTACTAGACGTGTTAGACCTTTCTGAATAATCTGTATCAGCTCAGACGTTTTTACAAGATGAACTGACACTGGCTGCTCTGAAAAAGATTGTATAGCTAAAATATGTTGACATGAAAAGTCATTAAATCTGCTAAGCAATGCATTCAGTTATCCAAAAAGCAATACATAAATTTACTATATATAACTGCAGCTTGAATATGTAATCTCAAGGCCTCAATAAGGCAAAATGTTTTTTTCTTTTTAAGATGCCACCAAAAAACACAGGCTGATACTCACTAGGAACTCTGGCACAAACAAATATAGATACCAAATGTAATACTGACAAGAAACTCACTGTCTATTGCCAGAGTCTACTGGGAAAAAAAATTACTTAAAAGATTATAAATTAAAGTATTGCTTTAAAAAATAAATTACATTTATTCTTATTAGTTCTTTCTTTATTTCTTCTTAAGCTTGACCATAAGTGTTTTTTATTACAAAATGTATAATACTGTGAAAATGTATTTGCATCCTTTTTCTGCTATTTTTGTTTTGTTGTCACATTTGTTTTTGTTCTTTTTTATATTGTGAAACAATATTTAATATTAAAAAGGAGAGACTAAGTAAATAGGAAGGCATCCTTCAAATGATTGGTTTCATGTTTTAATACAACCATATGCAAAAAATGTAATTTCCCCCTACACTTTCATTTGTGATGCCACCCTTTGTATAGACAACTCTCGTAAAGGTCTAAAGGGAGTTTTATTTTGATTCTGGTTGTTGTGTCACCACTTGGATGTGCATCTGATTTTTTCTTGGGTTAATCTTTTTAGGTCATTCCTGTTCTCTATTGTTCTATATTTTCTTAGCTGCAGATGATGGCTCTCGCTGTAGTTCTCTGGAGTCCTACTTTCTTAGAAATAGCAGGATGAGTGACTTCTTGAGAGCCTACCTCATGTTATCAGGCAGATTCTGTTAGAGTGTGATACTGCTTCAGTTTAGATCCCAATCAGGCTTAGGCAGGACTATTGAAGTTAATCACGGTTGTCCAAGACAAGGAACAGAATAAAAAAATTAAAAAGGGGAGAAATTATTTTTACATATAAGAAATGGATGGATATAGTTTTTTTCTTTGTAATAAAACATTATTATTCTCTTTTTAAGACGACCAAAAAGCAATAACAGAAGAAATTTGTATTGGGATAAATACTTTTTCTCAGCTCTTTACTGATGGTAAAACTTTAAAAAATGTACATAGCTTTTTATTTATTCCTCCATGTAAAATCATGATGGATTTTACAAACACAGTTCAATGTTTTAGGTTCATTTACGGTAAACAATTAAAAATAAATCACAAACTGATGTGACAAAACTTAATCACTTGTGCCTGCTTGAGCATGGGTTACATGTGTATAGTTGATAGACCATCCCTCGTGCATCTGTTTCTATCATTTTTTTGCCATGTGTGCAGTCTTGTAAATATGTTTTCTTCCTCTTTATGGTGCTAGTGTATTCGGTGTCCAAACATCATTCAGCCATCTATCTTTTAACACGAAGAGCCTGGTGAGCGTGCGGTATGATGGGGGCCCCTCACGGCTGCTTACAGGGGGCTCCAGGGGCCTCTTGGTGCAGCTGTCCCACTCCATAGTAACACAAGACCTTATTAGAGTCCATTAGAGCACTCTGAAACTAATAAGAGATTGTCAAATACATCCAAACATTCACACAATTCACAGAGACGCAGGAAGCGAATGGAGGCTGACGGTGGGGTGGGAGGGGTGAGGGCATGCGTGCGTGTGGATGAGAGGTGGTGGTGATGGGAGTGCAACATATTTTTCCTCAACATGATCGCATTGTTTTAAGTAAACCACTTTTTTTCTGATATTTTTGAGATAAAATTTAAATAAAATGACAGAAGCAACACAAATGCAGCACCTTGTTAACTTTATAGTCTCTGAAATCTATTCAAAATATTTAAAGACATATGTACCGGTATGTATGTATTTATTCAACGCCTCTTATACCTATTTTCTATTTTCTTGTTTTTCTGACTTTATCCAGTTGCTCTGACTAAAATTATCCATGCATCTGGGCAATGAGAAAATGCTTGTCTGGGGTCCAGAGTTCCAGAAAAAGAGCGTCCCTTGGCCCTGACAGCAGGGGCTTGACCCGGTAGAAATCCTTTGATCTTTAATTAACACCGGGCACGTCTCCGGAGAGGCGAGTGCTGATGAATAAGGTACCATTTGGGACAAGCTACAAAAACTTAGAATACAAAATGGAATAATTCTTTGTTTTAAAACTCAGCCCTGTTTTTGCTCTAAAGCAACTATGGGAAAATCTGCAGATCTAAATTTGGTGATTTAAAATGGATGGTTATGCATCTGGCATATTTAGCTTAAGGGGAAACTTGTTAAAACCAAAAAAAGAGGAACCCACATGGAGTTGTATATTGACCGCAACCTCCATCCACAACAAAGAAAATGTGAGGTCTTTATGGCACATGTGCTGGAACTCGCCTCTGATCTCTTACCATTGTTCAACTTCTTTAACATTGTCAAAAAAAAAGAGGAAAAACAAACAAACAAAACATAAAGTAAGCAAATACCTATCATGAAAACCAGATCCACCTAATGAGATACAGAAACTGATAGAAACTACGGCAACTGAGTTTCTCCATAGGACACACTGCTGAATTGTCATGTAAAGAAACATAATATTATATACTGAACACAATCAAAAATCTAGATATGCATTAGTATATAGATGACTTTGTGTATCAAAGTTATCATTGAACAGTGTCACACTTTTAATTATGTATAAGTCTGATGATGTAAATTTAACTAACATTGCACATCTAGAGGCAGAGATTTTTTTGCCAATTCTTTGTTGCAAATCAGCTGAGTTAAAGTCAGACTAGGTTTTTGCCCCAGTCTGAAGTCTTCTATCGTTTCTAACACGTTTTCTGCCCTGTATGTATATCATCTTCACATTTGCCCTAACCAGCTCTACTTATGTTGGCTCTACTAATACTGGATCCAAACGTTGTCCATCCTAACAGTAGTATAGTTAAAATAATGAGTGGTTAGGTCCACTCAAAGAATTTGGGAGAAAGGCCAAAAAGGTCATGTTGATGCAATATAACCCTGTAGAGACATTTGGACCATGTCGCTATGAGTTCATAAAACCTATTCAAAGTTTCTTGTCTATCCCATATAGACGGTGAGACACTTCACATAGGAGTTATTTTTCATGGTTTTCTTGCATTAATGGTTTTCCTTTTGGCATTGCTTCATAAAGAAGTCCACATCTAAAAATGTATTCTTTCAACTGATTTGTTGATCTCTACTGCATCTTAAGAATTAAAAATCTTCTAAGTTAATGTATAACAATTTCCCACTTCATGATTACTACATACTTTATGTTGGTTGCACAGATTGCCCAAAAAGTCTCCAAAAGTAAGGACATGTCTACAGGGCACTACAACAGAAACCAGCTCCCTTTTAAAACCTTTATGAAGATGGTGACCAGACAATGAAAAACATTTATTTGGAGCCATCTCAGTTTAAGCTTCTGTCATGCTTTCACCAGCACCCATAATCATCACCACAGCTATTTTATTGTAATCCACTCCAGTATACTGTGTTTATCAGACCTGTCTTTGCAACTTTGGCTAAAATATTTCCTAAAATTAATGATGTGTCAAAGAGAAACTCACCACCAAACCACTGCTGGCTGGACCTATCAGCTGATGGATCTGGTTAACACATCATCCACATATAAGGAGATACGTGTGTAGAGCTGGACAACATATCCAAAGACACCCTAGGAGCCTTGGATATGTTTGAAGGTCTCCCATATAGAATGCATCCACATTCATAGAAATGCGTGTGTATATATATGCTAAGATCAGGTGTACGACATTTAAGCTCCTTAACAGAAAGATATGAAGTGAGGCTGTCTTTTCATCAATCTTTGCACTTTTGTAGCTTTGGAAAAATCTTTGATTTGCGCAGAACGGAAATTCCATATGTAACATTAGACATTTAAGAAACTTAGACAACATGGTTCATTTGTTAAAAAAAAAAAAAAAAGTGACTTACTTTGACAGGTGCTGCTTCTCTCCTCATATCCTGGGTTACACAGACACTTTCCAATAGGCACAAGCCACTCCCCTTCTGTGCTACAGTACATTCTTGGGGGTTCCTCCTCTTTCGAGTAATTGACACACAAGCCTTTGACCTCAACCAGGGACTGGGAGTCCATTGGCACAGTATCGGGGAAGGAGGCCAAATTCCTCACAGTTTGTGGACACTTTTTAAAGTAAACCCTGACTGAAACTAAAGCCACACAGGCACCCACATCCTGGAATGCCAGGTAGAAGCCCTTCTTGCTCAAGGGGCCTACCTCTCGCACCTCAGTGTTGAGTTTGAGGATGCGATCTCCGAGGTCCGTTTGGGTAAAGCTCTCATCAGCGGCTATGGTATCGATCTTTAGGAATTGATGCTCCCTAAAGTGGCTCCCCTGGTCATCATCTGTCTCCAGATAGAGGAGGTTGAAGGTCTCTTTGCATGTGCCAAGGACCAGCGGGATGGAGTTGCAGTCCCGCAGCGTAAACTTCAACTCCACGTAGATCTTCTGCGCCGACTGGCGAGGGATCCAGTTGGTGCGAAGCCAGTTGTTCTGGCTGTACTCCATCACATTGCAGACCTGGAAGGTTCTGATGGGGGTGTAGTGCTCGTCCACACCACTGATCTCCTCCCACTGCAACAGTCAAAAAAAACAAAAAACAGGAAAGATCGAAAGGAGAAGCAGAGAGAAATAGGAAGAAATAAAAAACAGAGATAGCAAATGAATAAAGGAAGGAGAAAATGATGAGGTAAGAATGGGAGTAAGGATGGAAAAAGAAGAATATAGGAACAAGAAATTCATATAATGTTGAAGAAAATTAGGGGTTTGGAATTGAAGAGGAAACAAAGGAAAAGAGGGGAGATAGAGAGAAAAATAAAGTTATCTCCACCCTGTAGACATTTAACAATAAATTACTTAGATCCAGATTCAGTCTTTCTGAATACTAAACATCTAACAAACACTTAAGGGTGAAAAAATTACACAACTAGATCTTTTTTGAATTTCCCAATTAATTAAAGACAAACTTGTTGCCATTGCCAAATTTTCTTAATTAGGAAGCTATAAATATATTTCTATAATAACCCATGATGTGTGATGTTTACTATTTCAGTCACTTTAAATTAGTTTGAAGCAAATATTACCAAAGATCGCATGGTGTCTTTTTTCACCCTTACGCTAACAAAGTCTGCTTTTATCTATAATAGTGAGGAATTTCAAGCTGTAGTCTTTGTTATTTGCATCACAAAACTACTTCTACTCAAAAAGAAAACGTGCTGAATCCACTATATGAAATAAAAAGAGGCTACAAGGTATAGACAGATGTGAGTGTATACCAGGAACGTTCGTGTCTATCTTACATTTTCCCTCCACTGGGAGAAAGCAAAGAGAGGAGAGGAGAAAAAGAGAGCTGGGTCATTCCTTTTGAATTCAACACAGCGGGTAGACTCATTGATCATGCTGTTCGGCTTTGCTGTCCGGGCAAATCAACACTGAATCACAGCAATGAGGAATGGACACCTGTAACAGTGGGCTTATAGTAGTTAAAATGAAGGAATGGGTGGAAATGAGCAAATGCTTTCCCCTTTTTTTCTATTTTCTTTTTTTTTTTTTTATGTAGATTTACCTAAAAAATTTTTGATTTTTGTCCAGATTTTAAGCATGTATTTTTTCACAGGTACTTGAAGAAACATCTATTCTGATTTTCCTGTTTTGTAACATTTCACCCACAAACTTCAGTGCATTTAAAATATTATGTACTGTATCAACATAACCCAAAGTGTATTGTATGTGTGTATTCAGTCCCTTCTGTGGTATGATGTAAAACAACCATTCTACTCTACCTACACCTAAGTTTCTCTGGGGAAGGTTCATATCATCTTTGGATATTAAAAGTCTTGTGTACATTTTGTCCTCAGGAAAACATCTTCAGCAATTAGATTTACATTTGGGCTTTGACTAGTCAATTTATACTTAAGCTTGTATGTTGGTATTAACTATTCTGAATGTTAATTTTAAGTGGATTTTTAGGTATCTAGATAGCATACTTCAAATAATTTCCTGTATTTATCTTTATTTAAGGTTTTATCAACTTTTGGAATATACATACTTTAATAACATTTTAGCTCTGATTTTATGTCTTTAAGTTTGATTTGTGACAGTTTTTTTCAAGATGTATGTCACCCCTATCTAAGTAGCTGATTCATTTAGTCTTTTTGGAAACGTAGTGCTATTTAGCAACCCTATCCACATATCGACAGTATCTTTTAAGAAAACCATTATAACTGTTACAATACTGTACATTATTGCTGTAATTCAATATTTTTTCACCTACTGTGGTCATCCTAAAGAAAACATTTTTTTCTAACTTGGAGGGGTTTTTCCTTTCTGCTAATTTTGATTGAAATAAATATCTATGGGACTTCTTTCTATGACCTGGAGCAGATCTTGTTCCATGATGAATTTGTTACATAATGGCTGTTACCAAGTTTGACAGTTTACAATTTACAAACATGTTAAAATTAGTTTGAAACTGCCTCCACAAAAAAGAAAAGATTTATGACGGGTTAAATTTGGCTAGTACTTTCAAGTAATTATCTTGTTCTGCTGGCCCCAGAGCATCTGCTCTTCTGCTTAAAATTCTCCCAGGGTTTGCAGCTCTAGCTTGGCTTGCATGTGTGCATTTGTAAAACATCACAGTTGTGTGCTGAGTCTACAACTTTGACCTTTAGACCAAATGGAGGACTTAATTTTGTCAGCACACTTTTAAATTTTACTTCAGTTTTGCAGTTTTTCATTCATGTTTTATCACTCCCGCATTGTAAACAGTCCACATTTGAACCTATTAATTTCAAATTATCAGAGCAACCTAAGAGCAATATTACAATTTCCTACTTTACAAGCGTACTTGCCATGATAAACTCTGATAAAGTTATTGATTTCTACAGAAGCATTTTAATTTTTTTAAGTCCCTTTTCAACTTTTATGCCCCAAACATTAAATATAAGTTGAGTCTACTCTTGGACAGGTTATATAGATTCATACAGATATATTTTAATGAAAGCTTTTAGGTTTGATGTCCTCTTATTGTTTGATTAGATATTCAGCAATATATTGCTATTTTTTTTTTCTCTAAGTTTCTTTAAAAGGATATTGGATACAAACTATCCTACCTGCAATTAGCTATCGTACCAGAAACTCTAAACAATTTCTCTAAACATAACCTACCACTGAATTTCAAACCCAATAACACACTTAGACAAAACCTGGTTCATCCCAAAGACACAACACCCAAATAAAATCTGAGTGGCATTTTTTCTTTGGTCCATGGCAGCCAGAACTGTTCAGACTTCTATATTATAGAGAACGAACAACTACACAAAAACATGGCGCAGCATAGGAGAGCCAGGGGCAAGATTCTGCAGTGCTATTGCACCTCAGGAACAAAGGACACACCTTTGATGACCAAAATGTTCAGATTTTGGAAAGAAGGGGACAGATGTTTTGAAAGAGGGGTGAAGGAAGCCATCCATGTTAAAAAAGGAAAAACCATTAATGAATAGAGAGGGAGGATTGTCATCTCAGCTTTCATGCATCTATTATGCAATCATGGTGCTTATTCTAAAGAAATTACATAAGCATACTCATTGTGATTCAATGGCAAAACATGTAGCCCATAAACAACTAAAGACTCAACCAACCAAGGCACATGTTGGGTTGATTTTAGATCTGTATCTAACTTGAAAGGATGGACCTCCATGCTACTTAAAACTACAAATTGCTCTGGTGTGAATTAGCAGACTCCCAGACAGATGTCAAAATGTAATCATCATCTGAGTCCAGTTAACACAAACCTTTTAAAAGTTGTGAATAACTTTGTGATATCAGTGTCTTAACACTTAAACAACACATATTGGCCATGGTTTCAGAAGTTATGCGGGGCTACTGAAATGTTTTATCACATATTAATTATAATATGATGTTATGGTATGCAGAAACTCTGTCTACACTAATGAAGATTCAACCTTATTGGCATGTCAAAGGAGGCTGGAGGAGCTCAGTGGAGCTTAGAGGGATCACCAACTAGATGTACACAAAAAATGTGATCACAGCATCAGACTTTCCTCTCAAGAGAGCCAAGTCATCAAAGCAAACCAGGCTGCCTCATCAGTAAAGCATAATCAATTAGTGTCTGAATTTAGTTTTAACATAAAATTAGACTTTTTTTTTTAACATTAATATCATGATAAAATGTCTTTTTTGGCATCAAAATTCATGTGGCAAAATAAAAATATAGTTATATGAAAAGTCAATGTCTATTTCATGAGATTTTTGTCTTCACTTCTGCAATGAATAAAGGTTTTGAGATACCTTGAGGAAATTTCCTTCTGGTAATGTGTTACAGTAAATATCAAGTAGAGAAAGAAAGCAGTCCTCCAGGATAGGGTAGCTCCCCTCTCTGTTGAACTCTAATTGATATATAACAACACAGGGACCCAACACTAGTCTCCATGACCTCTGACCCTGACCCTTAATGGTCGCAGCTGGGGCACAGGTTGGTGTGATGCTGCCATGGTTTCTCTGATCTGTGCTGTAGGTGAAGCAGCTAAAGGGACAGTAAAATGAAATGTGGTAACTTGAGCTGATCAACACATAGCTATGGTAACAGGCACGTCTCAAAGTCACATAGTCAGCACACTAATTCACCTAGTTCAAAGATGTTCGGGTCAAGTAAAGGGCTGCTATATAGAGTGACAATGCACTCAGATGTAACTGAGAGTGACAGATTTTTAATGAAACAAAACAGACGTCTCTATTTTGGGAGATTGATTTTTCTTATTTT